AATTTCCAGTTCCTTCTGACATGCCCAAATGCTAATTTTCCCTCCATAATTCATAAGATTATCAACTATTTGTCCTTTATTGTACATCTCAGACACAATATTGTAATTATTTTTTCACAAAGCATTGGATGGCACTTTATAAGATATTTGTTCTCTGTAAACTTTTCATAGGAAAGCAGAGAACAATTCCCTGATACTGCTCTGAAAAAATCTCTGTACCTCTCTTCCTTTTATTTTCCATAAGCACAGACTTCTTCTCAGAATGTCTTTGGGTTGAGGTTTCTCTTTAGAAACTTTACAAGTTGATGTGTCCTCAGCCATCTCCTGTCTTTTCCTGATTCTGGGCTTCAGTACTATCTGGAGATGGCCCAAGATACTCATCACGGCTGTGTCTGCCGGAGTGTGTAGTGCGTATCAGCCCGGGGGTTATTTCCTCACAGAGAACAACCTGAGAGGTATGGAGTGCAGTCTCTCCAGGGAGCAAGTAGAGGCCCTGGAACTGAGAGGAGTCTCCTGGCATATATATGGTGCCTCTAAAAAGCTAACCCCTTGGGACATTTAGTTTGTCTTCACTTTACCCAGCTTCCGTTTCTTGAGATATATTTTGTTGGTCAGCCAATCAGATGCTGATTTTGAGGAGAAAAGAGAAAAATGATTCCTGCCCTCTGGATTCTCTCAGATTTCTGAAAGGAAAAAAAAAGTATCTCAAAGGACAAGGAAAACCCATCCGAAAGAGATGGTGCAAGAACCTGCAAAGTAAAATGCACCTGAGTCATTCACCCACTGGTGCACAGTGCCGCGTGTCCTGGGAGGGTGGTCACTGAGCACTTTAGTGAGCAGGATGGGAGGATCTCTGTCACTGGATGGCCTGACCTCACATGAGTCACACGTCTGTGTTGCGCTCAACACTGCCACTACCTGGTGTTGCCACCTTGAAAGAATTTGCTCACTTATTTAAACTTCAGTTTTTAAACTGTAAATTTGTTTTATCGGTAGAACTAGAAAGATAAGACAACATTTACAAAGGGTATGAAAGAGGTGGATTTGAGAAAAAATTAGATAGCTAGTCAGGAATTCCAGTTGTTGAAAATATTGGATTTACCTTTTTTCTTTTCCAGAGGGAGTATAGGAAGTTTCTCAGTCTGTTCTTGTTTAGGGGGTGATTTCAAATAGAATCCCAGGGCTTAGCTGTGGGAACGATATCAAGGAAAAGAATAGTGAAAATGTCTTCCGCTAAGACTGTATGACTTGAATACCTTTCCATAAGAAAATGTGGTAGATTAATTGGTGAATTGCATAGATTCACGAAAACATCAGTTCCTCTTTTTGCAGGGTGAATTTGTGACAGTAGATAGCTCTGTCCTGTGTCTGTTATCTTGATTTCTGAGTTTAATGCTGAATTTCATGAGATGGACTTGACACCCCCTAAAAGTGTTCTTGTGTAACAAATTGTTTACTAAATGAGTTGTTGTGGAAAAATTGTGTGTTTATTGTCTGAAAGGGATAAGTGCTTCTGCTTTCTTGTTGAGGTATGAAATGAAAGCACATTAAAATGTCCTTCCCTTACATATAAACACTGTGTTTGAGAAATATTGCTGAATTTTTCAAAGACTGGTGTTTTGTCATTTAAAACTAAGTGAATAACCCTAACTGGGAAGTTGAAGCCTGAGCCCAGGGATCCCAAGCTAAGGCCAATAATGAGTCTGCAAAAGGAGTTCACTGGGGGTCCAGTTAGTTCCTCCTGGGGAGAGATGTGTATAAGAGACAGACTGGAGGTCCAGTTAATTCCTCCTGGGGAGTCGCCCCTGCAGGTGTCCCAGTCTGGTCACTCCAACCATGGAAGAAGGTTTTAAACTGAGAGAAGCTACAGAGCTCTGGAAAACTAGGTATCCACAGGCAGATGCAGTTGGGTTTAGAGTGGAAAGGGATTGAAAGGGTCGTTCTGAGGATGGAATTGTTGTTTTCCTAGGGCTGTTTCTAGAGTTTGCCAAATAAAACAAAGTCGGATTTAGGTAAGAAGTTAGTTTCAAAGGAGTATTGCAACAGGGGGAAGTGCCAAGTATAAGATCTTTGAAGATCCCAAAAGTTAGGCAGACAAGGGCTTTCTTTCATAGGGAGAAACAGACAAGATTAGAATGAGGATTGGAGGAGAAGGTCAGGATGGAGGATGACAAAACAGATTCCAGATCAGAGAATGTTTCACCCTGAAGTCAGTGTGTTCTTAGGAGGTACATACAGTGAGGTTGTATGTTGACTCAGACTAAGGAGAGGACAAAGTTCAGGGACCTGGGAGAGGGAGAGGAACTTTTTTTTTTTTTTTTTTTTGACGGAGTCTCGCTCTGTTGCCCAGGCTGGAGTGCAGTGGCGCGATCTCGGCTCTCTGCAAGCTCAAGGCCTGGTTACTATGGTAATAGAGAAGCCCCC